TGAAGCAGAAGTCTGATTAATGAGTGGAGTCCAATTCAGTTTGTATTACCATACAAGTGATTCACAATATCAAACGAGTGTGAAGCAGAAGTCTGATTAATGAGTGGAGTCCAATTCAGTGTGTATTATCATACAAGTGATTCACAATATCAAACGAGTGTGAAGCAGAAGTCTGATTAATGAGTGGAGTCCAATTCAGTGTGTATTATCATACAAGTGATTCACAATATCAAACGAGTGTGAAGCAGAAGTCTGATTAATGAGTGGAGTCCAATTCAGTGTGTATTATCATACAAGTGATTCACAATATCAAACGAGTGTGAAGCAGAAGTCTGATTAATGAGTGGAGTCCAATTCAGTGTGTATTATCATACAAGTGATTCACAATATCAAACGAGTGTGAAGCAGAAGTCTGATTAATGAGTGGAGTCCAATTCAGTGTGTATTATCATACAAGTGATTCACAATATCAAACGAGTGTGAAGCAGAAGTCTGATTAATGAGTGGAGTCCAATTCAGTGTGTATTATCATACAAGTGATTCACAATATCAAACGAGTGTGAAGCAGAAGTCTGATTAATGAGTGGAGTCCAATTCAGTGTGTATTATCATACAAGTGATTCACAATATCAAACGAGTGTGAAGCAGAAGTCTGATTAATGAGTGGAGTCCAATTCAGTGTGTATTATCATACAAGTGATTCACAATATCAAACGAGTGTGAAGCAGAAGTCTGATTAATGAGTGGAGTCCAATTCAGTGTGTATTATCATACAAGTGATTCACAATATCAAATGAGTATGAAGCAGAAGTCTGATTAATGAGTGGAGTCCAATTCAGTTTGTATTACCATACAAGTGATTCACAATATCAAACGAGTGTGAAGCAGAAGTCTGATTAATGAGTGGAGTCCAATTCAGTGTGTATTATCATACAAGTGATTCACAATATCAAATGAGTATGAAGCAGAAGTCTGATTAATGAGTGGAGTCCAATTCAGTGTGTATTATCATACAAGTGATTCACAATATCAAACGAGTGTGAAGCAGAAGTCTGATTTTTCAATCACGAGTATGATTACAGACTGAATTGGACAATACGAAGTCCTGTTCATTAATCATAGCCATTACAATTTTCCAAAAAAAAAAAAAAAACCAACAAACAAATACATTTAGGGAAAATATCCCTAGTAGAGACAATGTCTTAAGTAATAGAATTCCTCCATTTTGGAAATTCCCCACAAGTGGTTGTTGCTATGGTTAATGCGATCAATCCTGTGATTAGTGGATTCAGCTTAGTGGACTTGACATGATTGGCTGCTTTAACTGTTTGATTACAGGCGTATGACTTCACTACATCAGATTACAACCCTAATGAATGAGAAGTGAAAAACAAAGCAGCTGATGCACCAATCAAATTGGAGGAAATTGTAATTTTAGGGTTATGATTAATATCTAGATCTGAATGGAATTTTCTCGCTCCATAACTTACAGTACAGACCCTAAACTCAGTCAGTAAGAGGTACAGATTTATGTTCTATACTGCATTATTTACCAGTAGTGAAGTTGTCTCATGATGTTTATCTTGCATCAACTCCAAGGATTTAATACCCTCCTTCAATTCCACAGAAGCTAACATCAATTTCGATCTTAGATCCACAAACAATATTTCACCAGGCTATAAAAAATTAATAGGACTGGTAATTAGCTACTTGCAAGGAAAAAATCTATATCAGAAAGCTAAGTTAGCATAATGAAGTAAGAACAGTTTCCTAAGCTTCCGAGTTTGAGTTCGGTCGAAGGGGGGGGGGGGGGCTAACTAAGAAGAGATATGAGAAAAGGTAAAAGGCACCTGCCCGCAAAGGCAAACAAACCTCAGTTCCTATGATAGCAATGTGCAAATCATCTACTGTCTTCCACCAAACTAAACCAGATGGAAGCCCTATATAATATAGAAACAATAAGACAACATGCTGTGATTTGACGACGGTTAGTTTCCAAACACCTTACTCGTGTACATTTCTGTTGTTTGTTCCGGTCTAATATCTCTTCGTTGGGTAATGATTATCACTTAATAAGTTTGGTATTTCAACCAGTTTCATTTAAGCACGTACATCAGATATTATGTTTCATACTTCATCACTTGTCATTGCTATAAGTTGCTGTCGACACGACCAATTTAATCCGCTATTAGTTAGCTATCTACAATCATTAGGGGCTACACCAAAGTAAGTTTCCCTTTATTCTACTGTTAACTAAAGATATTTCCTTTCGTTCAGTTCGCACTTTGGTTTATTTCTCACTTTCAGTTCACTTTACAATCGCTTCATCGTTAATTGGGCTAAAGTTACATTTCTCAGAGATACTTTCTACGTTTAGCTTCTACTGTATTTTCTTATAGTTCAAACCACACACACACACACACAGACACAGAGTCACGCACTCAATTCAGCCACTTAAATTCAGCTACAGCCATCAATCTTAACTACGCTATCTTCAAGCCATACTTCGCCACTTTCATCTGTGATTCCACACCGATACCTTTATTCTCATTTGTATTTTGATTATGATCCTCGTTTAAATAAACCGTGATTTACATTGTGCGTTCGAATTGTCTACTCCGCTATATGTCTAGTAACCTTTGGAGGTTACAATGACAAGTAGCATGCAAAGGACATGACACAATTCACTGAAAATATATACATTATCACTCAAAATAGATCATCAAGTGTTCTGGGTTCAAATTGTTGCTGAGCCTTATAATGCTCATTCAAATTCTGTCAAGAAAACCCTGAAAAATGCATGCTGATATTGTACAGGACATCACGGCAGTCTGATAGGGCCACTACACATCAGATAAATATAGTGTGAGGACTTTTAGTATGAATATCCTTGCATTTCCTTTGCCCAAACAAATGTGTTATATAAATAAAAGGGTAAGTTTCTAAAGAAACTGTGGTGCACTACATCTGTGGGAGTAACACGACCATTTTAATTTTACCATCTGAGTTGATAAAGTGACCACCATAAAGAGTTTCAGAGCTGACATTTTGGGCATTAACCCTTCATCTTTTGAAATGTCAGCTTTGAAGCTCTTTATGGTGGCCAATTTACTTATTAATAATCAAATATGTTTGTATGATTGTGTAACAGTGAATAACTGTAATTGTTGATCATTTCATATGGCAATCCCTGTACCTCGTTTATCACTTTTAAAGATGAATGTTACATCATCTATTGGCCAGTGCTGATCAGACATCTCAGAATTACTCTATAGCAATAAAGAGAGAAACAATCAGTCCAACACTAAAAAATTGACTCCATCAAAACAAAATCTGGTAAAATGTTAGAAATAAATTGCAAATTAACCAGTTAATGACCAGAAAATAAAAAAACTTTCCTTAACACCTGCAACTCACTAGCAGATTAAAATAAAAAAAAAAAATATCCTTAAACTTTGATGTACTAAACTGATTAAACCTGGACTCTTCAGTTCACCTCCAAAAAAACATTTTTCCTCCCATAAAGGGGGGCTTTCATGGCAATGGGGTTAGAGTCAGAGTTGAATTCAAAGTAGGGAACATTTATAACCAAAGAGGAAAATCGCAAATCAGTGTCACAAGGAAATTCCTCAGCTCAGTGGAAACAGAGAAAGAAATTCAGTCTAATAATGAAGTCTTTATTCCATCATAAGATAAAACTACATATCTTATGTTACAATGAATTCGGAAAAACTACAACAGAAATCTACATACATATTATGAATTAAAAAGTATGTCATTACAATAAATGGAGCTTAAATATCAACCTATTTAAAAAAGTGTTCATAAAGTGCTGTGCATTAATTTTCGGGCGTGTGCAGCCTTTTTTTTCCTAAGATTATGTACATATATCTTTTGGACATAGTCTGAGAACATTTTCTCATTCTTCCTGCAATTCCATCTTGTGACACTGAGGCTTTGTAATGATCCAGTGAAATCTCAGACCCTTTGCATCGGTTCAGCTTAAGATGCAATCTAGCTTTCTCTAATAATTATCATGAGTAACTACATCATAGGAAGCATTGCTATTCCATCCTAAATTCTGTCTCGATGATTTTGACTACATTCTATTACCCTGTTCTTCAAATTACAACTTTATATCTTATGTGAAAAGGTGTCTGAACAACTGGCTGGCTCCTGCACTTTTTTGTCTTACCTGTACAATTCCAGCTACTGGTACAATATACAGGGAGCTGTCTACACAAGCACAAACCAACCATGAACCTGATGGGTCAAGAGTTATTATTCTGATAGCTTTTGCAGGATTCTGTCAAGATTTAATCAAGAACTCCAATGAATAAATATGAAAAATATTTTAACAAACTACAATTTGCAGTGTGAGTTAAAAACAATGCATGGCAAGAAAATTGCAGAAAAACAATGTGATCTCCTTTGCAAACAGGCTATGCTTAACAGAAAACCTTGTACAGCATAAAATTGTGTAAAAACACCACTCTATGTAATTATCATTAATAATACTTCAAAATACTTGTTAATACCCCTTCTTACCATTTCCTTCTTTAGACAGTCACTGTTATTTTCCCTTTGAAATGAAAATCTTTATTTGCAACAGTTGTTATAGCACCATAATATTAACCATTTTAATCACTAACATTTATAAAAGTTCCTGCTGTGTAATTAATTTTTTTTAATTGTTTGTTGAAACTATCAGCTGGTTATCAGTAAGCTGAATTTTGTACATTTGCATAGGATAATGATTATACAAAAATGAAATGTAGCTCTAGTTTCATATCTGTAACCATAGTTAATCGAGGGGATTAACTATGCTGTAACGATAAGCATTGTTTGCTAGTAGCCTTGTTTGAGTGTCAAACTTAAGGGACAAGCACTAATTTTTTTTATAACCTAAGTCAGCTGATGTAACACTTGGTGGCATATATTAGACAAGACTTGGTTTCTTGGCCCTTGTACCTAAACAAATTATATTTACTTGCAAGCATATTGTTTCCTCATATCTTGTGGTAAGTTACTAGCACCAAAGAATTAAGAGATTTGTGGACAAGACAATCCTTCTATATAAGTCAAGAGTGAAGTTTTATTCTGCAACACAACCAGCTACAAATTTTGTACTCTGATGCACACACTATGAATAGTCTGTTTTATACATGAAAACTGCATATAATTATAATGTAAATAAAGGACATTGCATCTGGGGAATAACCTTAATACGAAACGGCAGGCTACAACAATACAAAAAGGTGAGGACATAAAAATAAATCTGAAATGTATACCTGATACCAAGAAACTTGCTTTACGATTGAAGCAGCACCCTTCGCCTCAGCACGCAGCAATAAAGATCCTACAAATATAGATTAAAAAAATGTTGGGTTTGTGATGAAGCAACATTTAATACTTGGTAGTTCTAAGAGTTTTATATTCTCTGAAACTTACCATTACTACAGAGTAACACCATCAAATTGTGTTTGTCATCTTCATGAAACGCAGCTTGTTGGATGGAAGGTAATCGTTTGATGTCATCTACAAGTAATAATATAGATAATGCAGTCAGTTGGTTTGCATATTTAAGAAGAGAGAGCTATCATAAAGCCTTTAATTCCCCAGATCTGATTATGAATTCTCCCCTCTAGCTGCTACACATTTTTCTGTAAGTTGGTTATGAGAATTTGGTGTTCAATCAAGGTAACAACTTCTCCCTGATAAGTTTGAGTATTCTCATTACCTGTTTTCTGGGTAATGTATAGACATTATAAGGAGAAGGTACATGTTAATCACTTCTGGGAGCTAAAGGGTTAACTCCCAAGAGCTGATTGTTGATTCTTCCCCCTAACTGCTACACATTTCCTTGTAAATTGGTTGTGAGAATTTAGTGTTAGATCAAGATAACAACTACCTGATAAGTTTGAGTATTCTCACTAACGGTTTCCTGGAAAATGTATAGATATTTCACATGTCAATCAATTCTCAGAGTCAAAAAGTCAACTTCCCATGACCCAAACCTGACTCAAACCGTCCACGAACGAAAATCGATTTCCCCTGGAAATTCCATCATACATTTAATTGTTAATAACTTTTTACTTAACTGGTAATTCAAAGCCTTGATAACTTAAACTATCTTACACTTCAGACCAAAATAAATTTTCCATGGTTTTCCAATATCATTTATTGTCAATAATTTTTATACATGTTAACGCCAACCCTTGAAAACTATCAATGAAATCAGCTGTTTCATACCGTGCAGAAGACACGGACACTTACCTTTGGAGAACTGCTGAGAAACACGTGGACGAACCCTCAGCAAACAAATTAGCTCGAACAATTCAAACGCCATTTGAGAGCGTTTGCGGTCACCATTCGATGAGGAACTCTGCATCTTCAGGTTCGGGGTTTCATGATCAGCTGATAATTAGGCTGATTTCCAAAAGTTTTGAACAAGAACGGATCAATATATCGGATGAATAGCGGAGAAATCCTCAATGTACTGAAATCTAACGAGTTGATTCCTCGCAAAGTGAAAGGCCTGAGTCTTATCACCGTCTTTAGCCGCCATCTTGAAATAAGAACGAGGAAGACTGGAAACTACTCAAAAGATAGGTTGAAATTTTGTTTTCATTCTCTCTTTGCTATGGCAGCTAGCAGCTCGCGCCCTCGCCCTTCAGCATCGAGCAGTTCAGACGCAGTCACATTGACTATATGCAGCCTGGGTAGAAAAGGGGGCTGGTAAAATATTGACATGAGATCGCTTATTCTGGAAGTCGATTTAAGACAATGCTGGGTGACCGCTGGAATTATTGACGAGGGGTCATGGGGTAAACCTCCTCCCTCAGAAGTTTCAAAATGATTCAATATCTACTAAGAATAAGCTAGTGTATCCAAGTAAATTTTTTAAAAGATGTTTTAAACCCGTCATCTTCCTGAGTATTTCACGTGTTGTTAATTGGGAAGTTCACTACAATAAGGTAAACTGGCTCCCCAAATTGACGATCTTTGCTGGAACAAAATGATGGCTGTCTCTCCATGTCAGTTATAAGAGCTTTTAAATATTTCGTTTTCAGGGAGAAATCAAGAAGGTTTGTGCCCTTTAAGCCCTGAGAGTGACTGAAATCTTATTCCTCCTTAACGTATTGCTGTTGAATCAAACTTAAGGTCTTGAGAATAAGGAAGATGATTACCCACCATGCGGGGAAGCTCTTTAATTGTTGAACAAATTCTCCATGAAGATATTGTATTAGAAATGCATAGGGAACAGTATGGAGAAAATGGATATCAATCTTAGGCTGTAACACTTCAATTCAATCATTAGCTGCCCTTCATCCAATCTGTGAATATCCTTTTCAACGCAGGCCTCTTTTTTTATCAATTAACTTTCCTTCCCCCGCAACGCCGAAGGTGCTCTTCAGTCAATGTTTGGAGAGTAACACGGGTGATGAAAATGTCTCATAAATGGGCTCAAAATTCATTTTAAACTCGTGCGATATGACCAGAATGTAAATCGTTAGCATCTCAGAAAAAATATTTTTGTCATTGTTTTTTTTTTCATCAAGTTGTTTCGGTTTGTTGATTTCACTGTTGTTTTTGTTGTTGACAGCTATAAAAATAGTATTCAAATAGTATTGCGTCAGTCACGTGACTGAGCTCCTAAAGCTAGAAAGCGATTTTCGCTTTTGGAGGTTCAATTGAATATGAAAATGTCATGCTGATTTCCTGAAAACTCATTACCGGTATCCGTAGTCAATCAACAACGACCCGGGTCACTTAAAATTCTTATCTAAAATTGCGCAGTTTGGCATTGTTTCACCACAATTGTGTTCAGAGGGAGGTGTGACTATGACGTAGTACGCTCCGTTCACAGACAACTAAAATGCAAACATAACGTAAGCTATTACTTATTCAGAAGACGGCCAGAATTTTGCATATGCTTGGCAGCTAGCATGGCCATCGAACAAGATCAGCATGCTTAGCATTAATCGAACGGAGCGTGGCTTAAATGTCTTAAAGCGCGAGAAAACGAACAAAATTCATTGTACTTTCATTAGGATGGCCTTTAACAACAGAAAGGAAACCTCGCCGATATCTCAAGCCGTAAGTATTGATTTATATTGGTTGTACACTCGATAAAAAAATTGGATTCGCTGGTAGATTTTTCATTCATTCCTTTGCATTGGCATTGTACTTTGAAGTCGACCCTTCGTCAAGTATATGTGGGTTTCTACAAAAACACATTTAGGGTTAAACCTTCCAACTGTATTTATTTCCCAGTTTCGACTACTTTCTCATAAGAAATACCACATTTGTTACGTTTAATTCGCATCCGGATGTCAACAGCTTTAATTTCTTTAATCGCTGGACATATAAGACTTTGCGTAAGCAGTATTTCTTTCTCTATGCCAGTTGAATTTTATACCACAACCAGAAAGGTAAGTTTACAAAGTGCATTTCAGGCCCTCTGCTAACCGGTCATAGCGAAGACCTAAATTATTAAAGTTTTCAATTCAAGCCTCTTTCGAGGGTTACTTCGAGTTTTTCAAATAGCAACTCGTCAACTCGATGAAATCTATTGCTGAACGGCCGAAATTGCAGTAGTTACTTCCACATTGCAAAATTCACGCTTCGAATCTGAAAAATGTGCTTTGTTACGTTACGCGGAGATTGAGTTTAAACAATAGATACGTATATTTACGTAGATCCAAAAAATAACGCTCAAACCGAAACCAGGTCAAGTCTGACATTTAGCTAATATTCTAAAAAACTTCCTGTTCTTTGTTGAAGAATTAGTCACATGGCTCAATAGTTGCTAGGCAACCTTAAATACTCAGAATGATAACCGGTAAACATTGCTGATTGAAGTTAACAATTAGATAATTATTGTCAAATTCGAGGCAATGAAGGACGAAGTGACTAAAATAATCGAAAATAGGACCACGTTTTGATGGTGGACTGGCTGTATTTCAACAGTTTTAGTCTAAGTTGTACGCCTTCCAAGTTCAAATTTCCGAAAGCCGTACTAAACAATAAAAGATTCCTGTGCTGGGAAGCATGACGTATCAATTTCACGCTATATGCGTGTACGTATTGCAGGAAGCGAAAGAGACGTGTTTAAGCGAAAAAAGAAGATACACTTTTTGGATAGAACCTTTCTAAGGGTGTTGGGAGAGCGAGCGCGCTATCTATTCTTCCTTCCTAATTCTTAGTACTTTGAGTATGGTATAGATTTTTAACTACGTTAAGTGTGCATTTTTGGCCGGAACTTATAGACATCGTCCTTTTGTTGTGGCGAAAGACAGTTTGACAATTATATGCCTGGCAGCGCCTGTGGGCAAGATGGATCCCTCTTGATTTATCGGAATTGCCCGCTTAGATCCCGCGCAAGGAAAAAATCGTGTGGAGTGGAGTTGCCCAGTTCATTCTTTTGGGAAAACGTCGGTAATAAAGTTGCCTTCGTGTTGGCCCATAAAAAGGCAAACAAAGAACTCGGCCAATATCTGGCCATCTTGACCTCACGGTCGGTCAATAACGCATATGGAAATTATTCTGCGGAATGTTGATTTTTAGACCACTTACAGCTATTTTTACTTCATAGGTAGAACTCCTAAATTAGAGGGGTTATGGGCAACTGCGCTCATAAGGCACTCGGAACAAGGTCCCTCCTAGAGGAGGACCAAGATGAGGCATGGAAGCGTCAAACACGAGGAAAACTTGAAAACAAACTTTACACGTTTGTGGACCTCAAAGGCCTGGAGGGAAGCACGGAATTTGTCAAAGTCTGGAAGGAAAGCGGCAAGTTAGGGTTTGTGAAAAAACTTAGGGATGAAAAAATTCTCTTGCCTTACTTATATGAACATGGAGAGGGAAAAGTTCCTACTGCTGAAGAACTCAAGGAATGGCAGAACTCAAAGGTATCGTTATGAAACAGTTCACGATCCTTCATAAATTGTGACTGTTCAAAATGTTTGACTTCAAATTAAACGATGAGGAGTTGGGCGGCTGGCTGGGGTCTCTGTGTTTCATTGTCTGCAAAGCGCGTTGGGTATGTTCCATCTTATCAAATTTTCGTACCCAAGATTGCCGTGGTTAGTCTGTGGTACTCTATGTCCCGTTAGATTCTGGCCTGTATCGCTCATATTTCGAATGCACATGATATACATGTATTTGTTGACTTAGCGCGTTCCAGCGTTTCTTTTCGGTTCCTTCGTTTCTTCGTTGTTGCACTCTATCCTTTTAAAGCCAAAGTACCCAGTATCAGACTTTCACTTAAATAGATGTTAACTACGTGTACCACTCCCCAGCCCGAAAGACACGGAACAGCTGAAAATCACGATGATCCACATCATGCACCTCGCAAAGCTTGCTGGTCGCTTGCACACCGCGGGACACTGGGGGAGACAGCGCTGCACCTGTGCTTCCTTACTAACAATATGATCATGACAGAGATGGCGCATGCTCTGTTGAACTTGTATCCTGCAATGGCGCTGGACCAGTACGAAGGCCACGAATATTATGGTAAGGAAAGACGTTTTATCCGATCCATTTTCTTTCCAGCACAGAGGCTAGTATTTTATAAGGAGCCTTCGTAAGAGAACAGAGTATTGAAATAAAGCTTGGAAATTATAGCGAGAAAGTACGCTCAAGAAACTCGGCGAAAGTTCCGAGCAATATATTGGAAATGTTCTTGGCAGAAAACTTAACCTAACAAACTTGTACTAAGCTCGCGATGAGGATTATGCCTCATATCCAAACCCTGGCTTTTACATACTTTTTCAAGTATCTAGAGGCTTCCTTGGTTCGCCCCATCCATAAGGGGATACTATCTGCCATAAGGAAACTAGTTTAAATATTTGGGGGCGAGCTGTGAAATTTTTTTTTATTTTAGGGAGTGAACTCGCAAAGATGATGGTAGGGGGTAGAATTACAGTGTGGAAAAACTTCCATAAACCATTTGTCATCAGCCCCACCATTATTTCCAATTTTATTTCACAAAAGTTTGCATAGGAAAATTAACAGGTGAGAGGTACTGACGATAAAATTAGTTCTTGTCCCTTATTTCAGGTGAAACGTCTGTTCACATTGCAATCGTAAATGGAGACCTGGAGTCACTCAAACTCCTGGTTGGTAAATATGGTGCAGATGTTCACGCACGCGCACGAGGTAGATTTTTCATGCCAGAAGATTGCAAGGATAGAATGAAAGCAGAGACAGATTATGATGGTGAGTGGAAAGAACTGCCCCCCCCTCTCCCCTCGAGGAAGAAAACTATCCTTAATAAGATATAGAGATATGGGGCCGTAGGTGTGTCAATCGTTCTGAAAAGTGCGTGTTTCCAACTGACAGGTTATGCGTACTACGGTGAGTACCCAGCATCCTTCGCTGCATGTTTCGATAGCAAGGATATGTACGATTACCTTATAAGGAATGGCGCAGATCCCAACAAGCAAGACACCTTTGGCAATACAGTGTTACACTTGTGCATCATACACAACAAAATAGTAAGTTAGTATACAATTTAGTTTTTTCACAGCTAGGACTCCAGGTTGTTCGAGGATTGGTCAACACTATCGATGGATAATTCTCTCTCCGGGGGAAAGCGCAGTACGTTTTGTCAACAGTTACCCACTAAATAGTGATTTACCTGTTAGACAACAACTGGACCCAGATGCATACATTCTTCATATTTCTACATTTAACAGATGTTACCAAAGAAGAAAATTTTGATATTGTAGAGTAACTGAATCAATCTTGAAATTTCAGCTGGTTCGCTCCAACTACGCTATGTAAATTACTGAATATCTTGCGGCAATGTCTTTACGTCTATACTTGTAACATTCAAGACGGAAATGTTAAAATTGATACAATTTAAAACAACAAATGATTTAAGGTTTTCAAGTCACCCTTCTATTCCTCAAGTTAGATTTTAAATTGAGATTTTATCAGTGAGGCTTCAGACCCGTATAATTACCATATAAAATTATAACATAACCAAAGTAAAGCGCGCGCTCTGATTGGTCAATTTAGCGTCCCCCATTTGCCCATGGGTGTACGCTTCTGACGCGTGAGCAAATGCAAAGACTATTTTTCCGCGCGCGCTTGTTTTTTCTGGTCGAGTAAGATTTGTTAAATAAAAGGGGACTCTTTAGCTATAATTTATCAATGTTATGTTATAAAACAAATGGTAAAACACCACAGCGTACACTATTGAGTTATGGATGCACGCGGGAGGTTGCTAAGCACGACGACTCTAGCTGTGGTGTTTACCATTTGTTAAGCGTTACATTCAACTTCTATTTCTTCTTTCAGGACATGTTTCTTCATGCTACGCGAAGGAAACACAAGATCTGCGGCAATACGTTCATCAAAAATAAACAAGGATTTTCCCCCTTAACACTTGCCGCTAAACTGGGACGAAAGGAGATGTTTTATGAAATTCTCGAGCATCAAAGCATGGTAAGTTATCCTGGCTTAACAACTAGCAAAAGTTCGTCCTTCACACCCTAACATCAGTATGCAAATTCTCCATACTGTTCTCTATACATTTCTTAAGATGCTGACAAGGAGAATTTGTATAAAAATCAAGAGTTTCTTTAGTGGGTGATCACTTCCTTTATTCTTGTGATCTTAATGTGTGATTCAGGGTGATATGTAGACATAGCCAAGCCTAAAAGCGGAGCGCGCATTAATTTTCCCGCACGTCTCAAGGGCACAACGCCTTGCCCTGGCCAGGATTAGAACCCGGGTCGTCCGACTCGGAGCACAGTGCGCTGACCACTGGACTACTAGACAAAGCCGTGGCGTTGGCGTGCCCGTGGTACAGTTGACTGCGCATGCTAAAAGTAGCACCTTGTTACGGACGCCCGTACGGTCCTAAGTCCAAATTTTTTCGGCTTGATGGGTTACTATTACTACTACCATTGTGTATCATTATGGGGCTACGCTCTGCGAGCTCCGCTAGAAGGAGAAATTAGATGCTAGTCACTCTTGGTGGTTAGAGTGTTTAAAATTTAAAGGATTGAACCAAGTCATTGTTTTAGTATTTCAACTAATTTATTTTGCACCTTTTAATCGATCTTAACTCTCGTCTGAATTAATTTATGCAAGGAATACTGGACATATGGACCCATAACATGTTCGGGATATCCACTGGAGGGTTTGGATTCCATCGACAAGAATGGTAAATCTGGTGAGTCAGATAAATATTGGAATGGTCTAAACATCTCATCATTACTTTACTTAGATTTAGGCATATATCGAGAGCGTATATGGCAAGAGTTTTTTTTTTCACTTATTAGTGCGCGTTTTGATTGAGTGCCGTAAAACGAAAGCCCAAGTTGTAACAGAAGCCAAGGCTCAAAGTAAAATTAGCAAAATGCTTAAAGCGCGGGAAACACCATGTGACCGAGCTGTGATCGCCTCTAGTTTTGAATTTGATTGGTTAAGAAAATGGAACGATTTCTCTGAACCAATCACAGAGGGTAGTGAAGCAAATCAATAACAAAGCCGGATTATTTACGAGGTTAAATTGAAAATTGATGTAACAAAATTCGCACTCACTGACACAGTATACTCTCCACACTCTGGATCTTTTCTTGTCTCGCCTTCGAATCTAGCCTAATCCTCAAGCTAATGTCGTCTTGGCCGAGCCTGGTACCTATTGCGAGTCTTGACGTCGCCACAAGACGTTACTTTGGGAGACACACCGTTCTCTTGCATGCCTCCTCACCTCTTTTTAGCATCAGCGCGGACAGACTGAATTGAGGATGTTCTGTTCTATTTGATCTGTCTATTTTAGATGATGAGTCAGCATTACTTATTACACTTAATGGAAAGACAAGCGATCACTTGGACATGCTGAACAGCGGTATCATATATCGCCTTTTGGAAGAAAAATGGAAAGCTTTTGGAAAGGTAAGAACGCTTAACTCAATTGGAGAGGTCCTTTGTTCATGCAGACACAAAATTTCTTTGATTTTAGACAGGAACCACGGCCCTTATTTCTTAATTAACGATGTAAGACTCATTCCTTTAAATAGAGCAATGCACAAGTTGTGAGGCAGGATAGCATGTGAGGGACTGGGACTGGAGAGAACTTGAATACAGTGTAACACAATGACCTCCGCCTTAATTGTTGATCGGTAGCATATAATGAACTCTGTTGATTTTCACTTTCATTATAGGGAAAGTTCTATCGACGATTGGTTTTCGCAGGACTTTACCTTTTGGCTTTCAGTTTGGCCATTTATCTTCGTCCACGACATCTTGATCCTACGAGAATAGAGACTAGAACTGATAGAGTAAGTTTCCGCGAGTGGATTGGCCAATGCTTTTTACTTCTCTCCCACTTCGTATTTAGCACCCACGTCAGAGGATAGTCAGTGAATTAGGGCGCTTGCCCGGATACGTCAAATTAACTGAACTTATTTCTAGTTTGAAAGGGAAAGGAATTTTTCTCGTAAAACGTATGCACTGTGAATTCTCGTTTAATACAATTCCTTTTCATCATGGATCTCATTTTCATCGACAAACAAAATCTATCTCAATATGAGATCGGGGATATTCTTTACGGGGACTTCTTAGACAACAGATCTCTGTACGAGATACCATCTATACACCGGTACTGGTCTGTCGAAAGCTTAACGCTCTAAAGGCTAGCTTTTCAGAATGCGTTCGTTATATATATCTTATTAACCAAGCGCGAGGGCCATACTGGGAGAATATTGGCCCGAGGTCTTGACAGTACGGACCGAGCGCAGCGAGGTCTGTACAAAAAAGACCGAGGGCCGATGTTCTTCCAGTACGGTCCCGAGCAAGCTTGGTTAATAAGAGATTTATTATATGACTGAAGTTCAAAGGGACACAAGTGTGGTATCATTCGGGACCATTCGGGACCATTCGGGACCATTCGGGACCATTCGGGACAGTGCCCGGTCCAATACTTAGAGAATATTGGACCGGCAATAGAGCATTTTGATTGGTTGATTTTAGTTTTTGGCCCTCTGACTGCCCGAGTCGTGTAATAAATAACTTAATTGGTCTTGATATCCTCAGCAGTCCGGACTAGGAACCTCCCCTCTCCTTTCTCCTCTGTCTTCAAGCATGACATCAGAAAAGTAGTCGCTTCTCGATGCAACTTTGTGAGAGCTGAACCTTGTACAGGCTTATTTAATGACTTTTTTTATCACCTTTTTTTAATTAGTTACGTGTTGTTGCTGAAGGTTTCACAGTCCTTGGTGCGTTTATCTACTTGGTGCTGGAAATCAAGGATGTGTTGATAACTCAAGGAGTTCACACACAGATAACAACTTTGGTATGAAAGTACTAATAATGTACTCCTGCCCATCCAACAGAAAATAAAATTCATCCATAATTTAACAATCCCTGTTTGATAGAGCAGTTTTCAATTCAGTTTCGAAAAACCCAAACCAAAGTAGTCCCAGCGAACCAATCAGAACAAAGGTTTACATTAAAATTAACCAATGACAACTCAAAGTGAAACAATCAAACTGCATGAAGTGCGAGAAAGCGCTTATGACCAAGACGCAATTGTTTTATGTATTGAATCTGATTGGTTGAGAGGATGGCGTGAATTTTCTGGACCAGTCACAGAGCAGATCTCAGTAAACTCAGACACTCAGTTGAAAACTGCTCGAAATGGTTAGTGGATTGGTAGTAACCTTCGTACCAAAAGTTCTCATGGTACCCTATGATATAAAAGTGCGCATTAGAGGATACAAAAACTGATCCTTCTTTCTCCTCGCTCGGTTTAGCCTATAATATAATGCTTCATATTCCACAGTGGTTGAGCCAATCAGAACAAAATAAATTTATGATCCACCAATCCACCAAGTATCTCTCTCAAAAATGGTTCGAAAATAACCGAAGTTTAAGGTGCAAAAGACACAGTAGTGGTGTAGCCGTCGCGACATGGCTTAATAACCAAATAAGATTAATATTTTGATAATTTGATGAAGAAATTATTTGGAGCAGAGGTTCCCTACAAATGTTAAGAAAACATCTTTTGCAGCGTGACGCGCCAGGCAAGGCGATCTTTTTGGTATCCTGTGTTCTTGTCATCCTTGCGTTACCATGCCGTTACCTGGGAGAACACCAGGCCGAGACAACTATGTTAATTCTTGCTGCTCCTATGGCCTGGTGCTACTTGCTGTTTTTCTGTAGGTGAGTCACAAGTAACTGTGCGTGATGGGTAAATATTATTAAGTAATGAATAAAATTTTTTATGGTAATGTTTTCTATAAGATACAGTAACTTCTCTTTCTCACCTTAATTTGCAGAGGGTTTGGAGCAATCGGTCCTTTTGTAGACATGATCTACAGAATGTGCGCTGGAGACATGTCAAGGTTCTTCATCATCTATATCATCTACGTAGTGGGGCTTGCACAAGGTGAAACACCTACAGCAATATGCGACGTTTATTTACCAGTTTTCGGTGTAACAACAGGAATAAACTGATGTTGTAGTTTCTGTATGGTACATACTAAAACAATTATTCACCTCAGTGTTGGTGAACGTGGAGGATATTTACCTCTTCTTCGGCGAATAACTGTTAAAAACCAATATAAGCTAAGAGGGTGTACAACTCGTTATAAAAACTAATTGTGGGTAACGCTCGATGATACGTGTTTTCATTCGGTTTCGTATGAAATTGAGGTAGAATTAAACTGTACGCAAGTGAAACTGGTAACTATTTTTTTAATCTCGTATCTTTCTTTTTTGAAGCCTTCTCACACGTTATGAAAGGAGTGAACGGATTCGGGAACGAAGGATACACCATCATGACGCTAATGCGCATGACATTCGGCGAGTTTGACGTAAGTTGCAACGCAGTCGCTCCTAATGAACATATTTATTCACTTTCATGACCATGTATAGAATCAACCATCTCCATTCACGTCAGTGCACAATTGCATCACATTAACTGAGAAATCCTTACAGCATGAGGGAGGATTGTCAAATGACCCCAATTTAATGGCTTACAGGAAACAGCACGAGTTTTCATTGCTCAGTGGTCGAACCTTCCACGTGTTTATTGGGTCTTACGTTCTCCTCCTGGCAAAACTCGCAATTTCTTCTTTCAAATTATTCCATAGTCACTTCCTAGAAAGCATCTTTCTTTCGGAAGTTGTACTTTACAGTTATTGTACTTATTTATTATTTTTGTTTTTTGGTTCTATCATGTCCTAATTATGTCTTCGTGTTCCTGTGGTATTTTTAGGAAGCTACTAGTGAGTTCAAGAAATGCTGTTTTCTGAGACTGCACCTATACACCTCCATGCACCCCCATGTTCCTTCGACAGTCGTCACAGAAAATATTAAAATGGTAGTTATGTGTCCGTAGTTTCTGACTTCTGAACTCTTTTCTCTCCCCAGTTCTTCACGTTCGAGAAGTCCCGGCATCCTACATTGGCCAAGCTACTATTTTTCTACTTCATGTTGTTCGTCACGGTTTTACTCATGAACATGTTGATTGCCATGATGGCAAACACGTATCAGAATGTAAGTAAAGAATCGTCTGACAGAAAAAATGAGTCTTTAAAAATCCTTGAGGAGCTTGAGTCTTGATCGAATGGAGAGATGATGGCAATCTCGCAGTCCCCCTCCCTCTCCTCCCAAGAGTATAAATGTTTACCGGAGAATTGTCGGGTAAACCTGAGAAAATGCCAATAGGGAGACCTAAAAAAAAAATGCTGGGGGATCGTGACAAAAATTCCGGGGAAAATCTGACAAAATTCCGGGGATAACGTGATAAATAACTGATGCAGGGAAACCTGAAAAATGCCGAGGAGAAACTTGAGAAACCTGAAAAAAGCCGGGGGAAACCTGAAAAAATGCCGGGGTTGGCCTAAAAAATTCCAGGGGATAACGTGACAAAATGTCAGGGGGAACCTGAAAAACTTGTGAAAGAAACCTGACAAAATTCAGGGGGGGGGGGAAACCTGAAAAAATACCAGGGGAAGCCTAACACAGCGCATTGCGGTCACCTCTAATCCTGGGGGAGTGCTAATACCCCTAATCAGTACATTCCGCGGAAACCGTGATAAGCCCGAGCAGCTATGCAAGTCAGGTATTGTATGCAAACTTCAATTACATATTAGACTCATCTTCGTTTCTGTTTTTTCTGCTGTCTTTTTTTTATTGTTGTTTCTCATTCTTCTTCTAACATTTTTTTTACTTGTGGTGTGATAGATTTCGGACCGTTCGGCAAAAGAATGGAGAAGACAGGTGAGGTCTCAGATTACCTTTAACTGACTTTTAGTTTGCAATTTCACAAGCTGAATCCCCCTAAATCGACTTTGCCGAAACCAATACGTTTGTATCCGAATGCGGAGAAGGTAACACGAGTCTTAAAAGTAAATTGAACAGTTTTGTGGCCTAAACTCATAGCAGTTCCGAATTTCTTGAAACATTTAACCGAATCCGATTTAAAATCCGAATGTGTTTATCCCTTTACAACTTAAACTCAGAATGCATACTCTCCATACTGTTCTTTATACATTTCGCTAATGGCGATGTTATCAAAGTTCACGGAAAAAACAGGATCTCTAAATTACATTAAAAACTCAGAACACAAAGTTAGTGACAAAATTATTTTATCAATGCCGTGTTTGACCTGTTCGGGAAATAACTCCCAGGCACGTGAAACGGCTTCACATGAATAACGCACTGCAAAAGTAATAGAGATCAAACTGGAAGACTTTATACAGTCGTTAGCACATCTTAGACACACTTAAAAAAAACTTTTGTTTTTCCACCAAAGTTCAGAAAAATAAGCGAAAGATAAATAGAGATTCTGGCGCAAAAACAGTCTGAAGTTTTAGCGAACCGAGAAGCAGAGTACAGTGCGCTGAGATGACCAATCGCGGCCGCATATATATTGATAATACCCATGATAGAGATTTTTTTTTTTTTTGTAGTGGGCTCAGATTATTATGGTATTAGAACGTTCAGTAAGCCCACTGGAGCTGATAAAGCTACAGGATAACTACTCAGTTAACATGGCAACGGAAGGAAGTGAGGAGAGGCGGAGAGGATTAATGGTAATCAAAAAGAGCAGCTTGCCGAGCAAAGCTGACAAACGGAAAGCCGCTATCTTGAATTGGCAGGTATGTCTTCATCTAAAAACATTTCATTATGCTACATTTTATAGACAGGCTGCTTTCGACATTTCCTGTTTTGAAGTATGCAGGGTACTCTTTTGACCCTGATGATTACTTTCCCTTACTATACATCGGAAGATGTTTGGTTGCATTCCTTGTGGAAGACTTAAATGCTTCTTTGTCTCGCTTTTGAAATGGCAAGTAATTGGATGAAATCGAGGAGATGACCTCAGAACCTGTCTTACTAAGCACATAAATCTGCTATCAATTTAAACTTCTTGTATAAAGTACGAATACGTTAGGTCTATTAGCCAACAGAAGCGTTACTATAGTTGAGTAATACTTAAGAGTGATTTTGATTCAGGAACTTTCTTTAAATTTGCAATAAAAGATAAAACATAAGTTAGTTTAACTGATTGGGGAAGTATATGTATCTTGAACATTTTTGTCAAAGGTGGCTTTAACAGATAACTTTACTATTCTAAACCACAGCTCTTTATTTCGTTGTAATTAATACGATTAAACTCTAAACATTTAACATTAGGCTGCCCTCAACGAGCTGAGATCTGTGCAGGCCGACTCTGAAGGAGGCAGGTAACATCATTCTTGAAACAACCTGCACGACATTTCACCAGCAACGTAAACTTCACTCACGCGCACTTGCCCGCAGAACAGTCCGCTTCCGCATGAGCGAAAGTCGCACGTGTGTGGGTTGTCCCACATGGATGTGATTTCGCGGTCAGTAGGACTGTTTTGTAGTCAGCACTCAATTTCAAATTATATGTGAAAGCTTTAAGTGCATTGATAATTAACTTGTGAAGAGAGTAGAAAAGAACAAGACAGCGGTCGGGCAAAAATTGGTGGGAGTCAAGCAAAGAAAAGCTTTCCCCGAGAACCGAGACCACCTTTACTTCTCTTTCGCTTTTTCCAGCATGAGAGCTCGAAACAGGCTGAACGATTAAACCTTTAAAGTGCTACTGAAACGAAATTTTTGTATCTGAAATTTTTGCTCTAACCTGTAGTTTTGAATATGGTGATCATCATGAGATAATTTGCTTTGGCCAAAATGAGGCGAAAGATATCTTTTTTAACCGTTCAAATCAAAAATTTTACACAAAACCATGTCCGGGCTCTGGTACCGAGCGAAATGGATTGATGACGTCACTGGTTGTGTTCACTCCGATAGCGTGGTTTATTTCACTCACTGTTTGTTTGTATTCGTGGGCGAAGGAGATGGCAGATATTGAAGTTTTGTCAAGTGAATCTTCTTCTGAACGAAGCGAAGTTGTCTCCAGTAGCGAAGAGGAAGATGGTGCCGTAAAATGGGGTTGACAGGCCTACACGACTCCCCAGCGTGTGTTTAGAGTAGCCTATTCAAAGTTTAGCCCTCACGAGTATGTCTTTGAGCGACCGCCCTCTTTTGTAAGATACGAGCGGCGGATTTTTACGGTGGCCCATAGGTGACATGACACATTTTTTTATCGCGCGCTAAATGGAGATTATCGCGCGATAAATGATAATCTATCGCACGATAAATGGAAATTATCGCGCGATAACTAATGAATTATCGCGCGATAATTTATCATTTATCGCGGGATAAATGGAAACTTGTCAGGTCACGTAATCGGCTGTCATGCATGTTGTTTCCGTGGACGACAATGACTGCCACAGTTGAGGAGCTATGTTTTNAAAAAAAAAAAAAAAAAAAGAAAGAAAAAAGGAATATGATTTTTAAAGGAGTTACGATATGACACACAAAGTTGCCGTTAACCGAGAGGGAACTATAATTAGTCATTTTCACACGACAGAGGAAAAATAAACAAACAAATTAAGAAAAATTAATAGGTCAAAAGATTATTGGATAAAGACAATAGCAAGACGGGCAAGGATGGAAAAGATTTACCTGGATTGCATATCGACTTGACAGAGACCATTGAACTTTCCAATTGTACATATACCTTGGCCTATCATAGAAATAGTACGGTAATTTACGCGCCATCTTTTGTTTTTAATTGCTTGGTTTTCAAATGGTTAATTTCTCAATCTTTTTCTCCCAGATTCTTGGAATTGACTCTGTAAAAAACAAACTTCAAGAACAGGCGACTAAAAGGCACCTCACACCAGTATCGACGTGAGCCTCACGTGAACACCATGTGGTTAAGTCAGCACGCGGACACTATGACGTGGACGCACAGAAGCTAAGTCGCTAAATGAAGATGGATGGAAATGTGCAATGGTTTTTATCTCTAGAAGACTTTCTCGAAAAAAAAAAAAAAAAACTGACTGAATTCCGGCGAGATTTAGTGAGGGAAATATCGCATTAGAATGGACAGAGGATGCAAATAAGAAAAAAGAACATATTTCCTTATCTGGGGAAAAAAATAAAATGAAATATGATTTTTTTGGAACATTGATAGTCTTGATACACTGATACATGGACAACTGAAATGTCCGTTCAGCATTTTGGTATATAAAGTTAGCACTCAGTATTAACTTTTTTAGGAAAATAGGTAATTTAAATGATATATGATAAAGTTTGGGAAGCATACGAAGTACTATAAAATTTTACAGTTTAAATGTTGTCGCAATTTAATATCGAGTTATTTTCAAATAATAGTGACTCGTCAATATTAGGAAATTTACAATATGATCAATATTTTGTGTTTTATCGTATTTATGTCATATTTTTTTTGTATGGTACCCATCTTTTAATGTATGATAAACTGATAGATATATTGACGCGGGCACCCCTGCCCCATCTTTCGAAACTAACGCGAACGTAAAGCTTGCTATCGAGAGGTGTTGCGTTACAAAATCGTCATTTGAACTTTAGAAAAGGAGGCCGTAAGTTTCTAGGGAAGCTGTGGCGCTGCGTCTGTCAGGGGTATATAATCAAGACGATTTGGTTTCATCAAAGGAGTTAATAATGTAAAGAATTACTTAAGCTGACGTTTCGAGCACCGGCCTTTCTTATACCTTCTGCTATACGCCTTTAGAAAAGCGCTCTAACGCACAGTCAAGTTCTCATGATTGAATTTCGAATTACTGGACAATAAAAATTACAAGAATTCGTCTCTTGCAATTTTATCTTTCTAGTCCTTTGGGTCTTCAAAGACATCATCATCCAGTGGAACTGCGCTACATTCATTTGAATATTCCCCTCTTTGGCCAGCTACGTTGAGACTCTTTAGCTCGCCTATAACTTTATGCATATGGTCCACCCCAGATTCTGGTGTAGGATTTGGTCGCTCTAGGACGTAATAAATCGGTTCCTTTTTAGTGCTGTCAACCTCGACAGTCGTGCGAGTAGTTGCAGCCTTAAGTTCTTCGATGACGCCTCGCATCTGTAGAGGAACCGTGTTGGATCCTTTTGGGTGCGTGTTGATGCAGGCAGGTCCCTTTTCAGCCGTGGTCCCCGAGCTCTCCAAGACGTAGTACAATGGCATACTCGAGGACTTATCGAAATGACTTGAAGCGCCTGCTTGGTACTTATTAGGGGAGAAGGGAGATGCGTCAAGTCGAAGTGGAATTACTGATTGCGTCACATTCAGTTGCGAACCGAGAGGGCTTCTTGGGGGTTGGGAACTAACCGAATAACATTGATCAGTTTCTGAAGGACTTGAGACACACTGCCTCAAGTTTTTCGGGTTGAGGTCATCGGATTTTCTTTGATCCTTCATGTGTTTTTTATCCTGTGGGAAAAGAAAAGGTAGACAAACACTGAGGAAGAAAGTTTTAAGAAGCGATGACACTTGTCACTGACTGGATAGCATGAAAGGTCCTGGGTACCAACGAGAATTTTTAGGAGTAACTTTGAAATACCGAGTAGAACATGGGTACTATTTCTTCCCAGGTCTCTTTTCTTGCAGCTAAGAAGCCATGACTAGATTGCTGGAGCAGAGCATCTTTGTGTTCCTACCTGGTCTAAACCTTGGTACTTATGTGTCTGGTTCCGAACAAGACCTTCGTAGCCTTCTTGGTCTACAGAAACACCTTTCCTCTCATCACATCCTTCTTCGTTCTCCAGATCTTGATATTCCTTACTCGCTCCAGGTTCCCTTGTGTTTTCGACAAGTGGCTGGTACGAGTCTTGAGTTGGGCTTAATGCGTCGTCTGGCGCAAATTCCAAAACCTGCAGACCTCGCTGATAGATAGGGTTACCTACGGAGATAGACATGGTTGCGATTTTCGATGCAGCTTTCCATTAAGTGTCTTTAGAAAAGAAAAATCAGTGCAATCATGACATTCAATCCGTACAAATACAAATATCACAGATGGCTCTAAGTGTGTGGGTGTTATTATCTCTTACGTCATTGCCTCGGCAAGCTCAAACTCTGGACAGCGCTCGTGACGGAGTCGTGCTTTGTCACTAGTTTGGCAACCGCACATTTTCTGATTGGTTGAACAGATGGCGCGAATTCTTAGAGGCGATCACAAAGCGCAGTGTATCAAAATAAAAATCAAAACAAATCCAGAAAATTTTTGACATTCAATCAAAAACATTTCAAATTACTCTCCGTCAGCGACATAAAAATAATAATAACAAATACCTTTGAACTAATACGTACCCACGGTGTTTCCTACTTCTTTCGTGCGTCTATGGAGAATACCGGCATAACATACAGTTTTACAAGGCATAGTTAATCATATGTATAATTCCCTATATTTTAACAGTCAAAGTTGAACATAGAACTAATTTCAATCACACCCTAGTTGGTGTTTTATTTGTATGCACGAAAAAATGCAGCTTCTTATTTGAGCAGCTCTTTTTGACAGCCTTCTAAGCAAGACGCTGCAAAACAACTAAATATGTTTGAAAAATTGCGTTCGATTTGCCATATTTCACAAAAGTATTTCCGATCAGTCTTGATCTGAGATCGCAAACTTGCGACTGCTCATGGTAAGGGAAGGATCACGCATCACGATGTCTTTAACGCGAGATTCTGCGTGAAATCTGACGAGCCGGCTCGTCAAGTATCTCGCGGCTTCGAAGCTTGCGCGCAGATTGAGCATACGTGTATAAACTTGCCGCGTAATCTTTGCTCTACGGGAAACCGCAAGGAAAATTGGGAACGTCAAGCTTTACCCTAACCACCTACTGCATGTCAACAAATTAATATTTGTATCTACAGAGATAAACTTATACAACACTGAACGAGTAATAAAACGCAAAAAGAGAGGCATCCTTTTCAAATCTTACCCGCGTTTTTCCATCAAACAAAGATATAATACCGCACAAAACAAAACTTCCAGCAGCAAGAATGTCACTACCACACAATATGTCAGAAGATGATATGTTTCTGCTGTTTTTTTATTTCGGAATTTTGTTCCGGTGAGGTTGACTCCAGGATTTGTTGATGAAATACTCGCGCAAGTACCTTGAAGGGAAGTAACAACATGATTGTCGAGGTGATTTGATTTTTAAGCTCCTCCAGAGCGCAAGAAAACTGAAGATAAAGATGAATCAAATTTAAACTTTTACCATTAAGTTGCCTGTAGTCGTCCCATCTGAAGCACGGAAAGGCTTCTAACGAAACGTTTCGTATGCTAAACACGAAGATTATATCAGTTTGAAGCTGTGAAATGAAGAAAGCAGAGAAAAAATCATTTAGGCTCAAAGCAAAAAGTTAACCCAACTCGTAAATTGCTTTATCATTTAACTAAATAATACACAACTAAGTCGCATTGCTCATGCAAGATTAGCTCTACAGATCCGCCTAAACATCAGTATGCATATTCTCCATACTGTTCTCTATACATTTCCTAAGGTGCTGACAAGGAGAATTTGTTTGACAATCAAGAGCTTCTTTAGTTGGTGATCATTTCCTTTATTCCCCTAACCTTCATGTGTGATTCAGGGGGGGATATTGAAAGGAGACATTAAATGCTGGTCATTCATATGGACCGAAGGCTTCCAAGCTGCCATTCATTTCCTTGTAAATGAACCTGATGAATGAATTGGCCTGTTACAGTCGAACCTCGATTATCCGGACTTTTCGATTATCCGGACTTTTTCTCTAGTCCGTTTTTTTCCTGATTATTAATGAGCGTTGATCTTCCAAACTTTATGAGGTAAAAAAATTCAGAGATTATGTCTAAATTCAGGAAAAGTGCGTTTAAAACAGCGCATTACCTCCTCCGCTTTCAAAAGATCGAGCACGCAGAGAGTCATCGAAGCAGACTTTTAGAATTTAAAGTGTGTTATCTTTATTTCTTTTGGTTGCAATGAAATATATGAAGTTCATATATTTTGAACTGCAGTATTAGATACGTATGATGCACGATCCTCGCAGTAGATAGCGCTATTTAAGCAATAGCGAAAATCAGACCTGAAAAAAAAAAATCAGGCCCGTACGGGATTCGAACCACTGACCTCTGCGATACTAGTGCAGCGCTCTACCAATTGAGCTAACAAGCCAACTGGGAGCAGGCCGTTAAGTTGATTCGTAATAAACCCGTGAAAGTGATAAATCAGATACAATGAAATATATGAAGTTCATATATTTTGAACTGCGGTATTAGATACGTATGATGCACGATCCTCGCAGTAGATAGCGCTATTTAAGCAATAGCGAAAATCAGACCTGAAAAAAATCAGGCCTGTACGGGATTCGAACCACTGACCTCTGCGATACTAGTGCAGCGCTCTACCAATTGAGCTAACAAGCCAACTGGGAGCAGGCCGTTAAGTTGATTCGTAATAAACCCGTGAAAGTGATAAATGAGATACAATGAAATATATGAAGTTCATATATTTTGAACTGCGGTATTAGATACGTATGATGCACGATCCTCGCAGTAGATAGCGCTATTTAAGCAATAGCGAAAATCAGACCTGAAAAAAATCAGGCCTTT